CCCTGGAGTCAGGAGGCCCTGAGTTCAAATCTGGCCTCCAACACATAACACCTACTAGCTGTGTGACTCTGGGCAAGTCACTTAACCCCAATTGCCCTCCCCAGAAATAAAAATAGTGAAGGATCAGCAACACCAACAATGAATCTCTAAACTCCCTGGTCTATAAAGCTTGAAAAATCCATTCTCTTTCTAGAAAAAGAAAATCCACCACATCCCCCTCTTTGATCATGTGGTACATTTCTCATTCTGTATAATTTTTCTAAAATTACTAACTTGGAAATCAAATTTGTCATCTGATTATATGACAAATAAGTATTCCTTCCAATTAAACCATGGGTCCTAAGTATTAATTTTGTCTCCTTTCCAATCTCAGAATAAGAAGTGGAAAAAAAAAGTTTTGGTAACCACAGATTTGCCATCCCCCAAGGGTTTCACAGTAACCTCTCCAAATAGGCATATATATGCGTGTTTAAGGTTTCCTGTCCATCTGTTTGTTAGATATGGAAGCTGTAAACTTTCATCAGCCTGTCATAGTGAACAGAGCACTCAGTGCCCTTAAGTCAACAGGCCTAGGTTTGAGCTCCAATGCTATTTCCTAGCTGTGTGATATCGGGGGTGTGACTTAACATATATAGGCCTCAGTTTCCTCACCTGTAAATAAGTAGTCTGAACTAGATGACCTTTGAAGTCCCTCTATCCTCTAAATCCTGTGAGATTATGATCAGCCCATCATGTTTCCTAACTTTACTTCTCTGAGTCTCAGTTTCCTTGTTTGTATAAAGACTGAAACTTGATCATCTCTAAGAGCCTTTCAAGCTCTGACATCCTAGATTCTATGATCTTCCAGACCATACCCATCACCCATTTCTAATCACTGAGTATGCAAGGGGCCAGGCTGGTACCAACTCTTCCAGTGGCAGAGTTAATGAGAAGGGGACTGAAGATGATGGCCCTGATCTCCATCTGGACCTCTTAACCTGGGAGCTCTTTGTGCATCTCCTGTTCTTCAATTATTGAGTATCTACAACCTGGTCATACATCCAGGCCTCCACCATCTGTTCTCCTGGTTTCTCTCATGGTCAGAATCCCAAGAAATGCTCCAGGAGAGACAAAGGAGACTCAAACTTAACTCAGTGACTCACCATACTCAGGTAAGATAGCCAGAGGTATAGTGAGTGGGAAGTATGGGTAAAAGAGTTTTGGACTTGGAGCTGGGTGACCTGATGGCAAATCTAATACATACCACTAATTGTAGAACACGGAAAAAGTAGACTCAACATAATTTATCAACTGACTACACTTGGGTGGAGAGGGAGAGGGCACAGAAAAGGACTGAAGTGGCAAGCCTGGGAGAAGGGTAATGTTGCAAAGAATATGGGGAAACTGGAGGCTTAGGTAAGTTTAGGGAGGATGATGACAATGAGATGATGTTGCCTCTAAATTGCTGATGGACACAACCAACAAGTTTCAGCAGACGATTGCAAAATCCCAGTGAAAGCATTGCAAGGAATTTTTTGAGGGGGGCAAGTGGTCATAGGTCTATTATTTCATAAATGTGAAGAATCCCCTATGTGTCAAAAGCACTTTCATTGACATAAATGGACAGTTCATCTGGATCTTATAGTTGCCTTCCTTGAGGTGACTTGACTAGTCCATGGTTGATGTGAATTAGAGTACTTTAACTTAGGTCATTCTAACTGCAAGACTAGCCCTCTGTCCTCTAGGAAAATTGGGTAATTGGGGCTGGATAGAGAGAGCTAATATTCACATGAAAAGAATTATGCAAGCTCAGAGCTGGAAGGGAGTCCGATAATCCTGTACTCTAAAGGGAACAAAAAGCTCCACTACAAAATGGTCAGCACATGGTTATCCCATCGTTGATTTAAGAACTTCAGCAATGGAGAATCACTACAAGGTGGCCAAATGGGGCTGTTGCCCAAGGAGAAACCACAGAAACAGATGGATAGAGGCCTTAGAATAAGAAACTTTCTTACACCTCCATTTAAAGAGCAGGAGGAAGAAAAGGATTCCATGAAAATGATTGAGAAGGCACAATTCAAGAGGGATATGGAAGACCAGGACAGATCAGTGTCATGAAAGGCACAGGAAGGAACAGCATCCAAGAGGGGACCGTCAATGCTATTGACAGAAAGATGGAGAAGTTTGAAAACTAAAATCCTTTCTCCAGATTTGTGGAATGAGGGCACTAATAACTTTGGAAGGAGTGGGAAGAATTCTGTGTGGAGACCACGGGTATGTCCAAGGGTGATGCATTTAATGCGTCTTTATGTTCTTTCAGTGAGAAAATAGGACCAACCTGAGGAAAGTAAAACTTACAAAGCTCACAGGAGGCCCTTGGGTAGCTGAACTTTGCAGGGCTGATCACAGGGCACTCCATGGATGAGGTGAGTCTCAGAAAGGAACTGGGAAGGAAGAGGTGGTGGAGCTAGCTTGGCAGGGGAGGGGGCAATTGCTTCTCATGAAAGGTAGAGCAGGAGAGGGAAACACAGAGGAAGGACTGAGTAATACCATGAAGAGCACCTTACCCTTCTATTATGTTGTATGGGGGTTACAAAGCACTTTTCTTTCACCAGTTCTCTGTGTGAGGTCACAGAAGGGTTATTTTGAGGAGGGAACAGGCTCAGAAGGAGGTTGCACAGCTAACACATGGTAGATTGAATCAAGTCTTGAACACAGGACTTATGACTTCCCCAGGCTTCTTCATATATATATACATATATATATATATATGTATATATAAAATGTTCATCTATTATAAATATACTTATATTTAATTTACATATAATTTAAAATTTATATATATATATATATATATATATATTTTAAGGAGGTTAGAAGCCCTTAATGACCCTGCAACGAAAACCTTCCAACAGGAAGGGTCATTTGCATCATAATCAGATTTCCCAATTTCTGAGCTTCCCCTTGTCACTCCATCCTATTTACCCATTTCCTATCCAATGTCCCCAGGATCTTATGTCCTTGTGTTTCAACAAACACGTATTAAATATCTGATCTTGCTGTGTTCAAGGCATGATGTTGGGACTACCTTTCTTGGAAACCTCATGTCTCTGATCATTCATTGGCTGATTAGCCTGGAGAAGAAAGTACTTTATGGCTGTAAAGGGACATGAGATCAGTCCCAAAATGCAAGGTGCTGGCCCTAGGGTCTAGGAGCAGTTTGGATGACCATCTCTTTCAGAGGTGATTTCTGCAAAAGTCAGATGACCTCTGAGATCTACCCCAACACCAAGATTTGAGACATATCATAAGTGACAGAGGAAACATTGCCCTCATTGGCAGAGACGATTGGGTATTTCCTGTACCAGTGAAATCCTAGGTTCAATCCATGTCTCTAAAGAGTTCCCTGGGAAGCTCTTTAGCATTCTTTAGCAATAGAATGCAATCTCCTCTCCTGGTCTTCCTTCTACCTCTCTGATTGTTGCTTCTCAGTTTTACTCACTGATTGTCTTCCTTCTGCCTCCCAAATTTGGGTTTATCCCAAGGTTCTCCATTTGAATTCTGCTCTTCTGTAGCTGCAAATATAAGCTTATGGAACCAGGAACTACTTGAGATCCTTATTGTTGCTTTCACATCCTTAGAAGCTAGTGCCGTGACTGCCACATAGTTGGTGCTTAATAAATGCTTTCCGAATTGCTCAGATACCATAAGAACATAGACTTAGAACTGGAAGTGACCTTTGAGGACATCTAGTCCCACTCCCTTATATTACAGATGAAAAACTGAGATCCATAGAGAGGAATTAACTTCCCAAGGTCACACAGGCAATGAGTAGTAGAAGCAGGATTAGCACTCAGGACCTCTGCCTCCAAATCCACTACTCTTTCCTCTGAACTATGCTTCTTTCCAAACTGATTAGAATTTCCCTTTCTTTTCCACCCACTTCTACAGGAAAGGTCAAAACAGAAATCTTACTCTTGTCTACATTCACAGAAGGAAGAAAGATTTGAGAATAATAATAGCTAGTATTTACATAGTACTTTAAGGTTTGTATGTGTGTACGTATATATGTGTATACACATACATATATGTATATGTATACATATATGTGTGTGTATATGTGTGTATACACATACATATATGTATATATGTGTATGTATACATATGTGTGTATATGTATGTATATATGTGTGTGTGTGTGTGTATATAGATATAGATATATAAAATCTCATTTGAACCTCACAACAACCCCATGAGGCACGTACTAATATTCCCTTTTTCACAGATGAGGAAAATGAGGTCAATTGATGTGTGCAGTGTCATACAGCTAGGAAATATCTGAGGCTGGCTTTGAACTTGGGTCTTCCTGATTCCAAACCCAATATTCTATACTACCAAGCTGCCTCCAGGGATATGGACAAACTCTTGAGTGACCATAATCAAATCAAAGAAAACCTGGAATTTGAGTTGAGAAGACTCAGATTCAAATATGACCTTGGATGCTTATTGTTGCATGTGACTCTGGAAAAGTCATAACCTCTCTTAGCCTCAATTTAGTTATCTGTAAATTGGGAGTAGTAACAACATTCATCTCTCAAGGCTGCAGTGAGAATAAAATAACACCTTCTCTTCTGCAAGCATTAAAACATTATTCATATGAATTAACATTATTATTATTGTAATATACATTCTTTTCCCCTTCCTTGCTTGATGTCCTCACATAAAATGGGAGGGTTGAATTATATGGTCTCCAAGGTGGCTCCAGCTCTGATATTCTATGCTTTATCTTCTAATGTTCTTCCCAGTTCTAATATTCTATGTTCAATAAGTTGATCAATCAGTAAGCAGGTACTAAGCATCTTCCATGTGCCAGGCTCAAGAAAAACCAAGACAAAACCAATATTGTCCCTGGCTTCAAAGAGCTTACACTCTCTTGAGATGAGCATCTTTTTTAAATAAAAAACCCTGGCAACATAAACACAGGTTAATAGGAGAGTAGAGGTTCAAGCTTGAAAGGCCTCATGAGGAAGCTGGTATTTGAGCTGGGTTTTGAAGGAAGTCATGGATTTAAAGAGAAGAATTTGAGGAGAAATTGCCTTCCAAGTTGGTGGAGCGGCCCATGTGGAGGCTTGCAGATAGTGTGGATTGTCGTGTGTGACTGGCAGCAAGTGCGATGGTTTGGCTCTACTGTAAATGGTGTGGTGAAGAATAAAGGTAGAAAGGAAAGTTAGAGGTAAGATGAAATATGATAAGTACCAAACAGAAGAGTTTGTGCTTTGTACAAGAGGCCACTGGGATCAGCCCCTTTGTTCTGAGGAGCCACTGTGTTTTCAGAAAATCACTTTGACAGCAGCACAGAGAGTGGCATGGAGAGGAAAGAAGCTTCCCAGGTAGGATTCTGTTGTAATAGTCCCCCTAAGAGAAGATGTGGATTTTAATTAGGTGGTAGCTATATGAGAAGAGAGAAGAGAATGAATGAGAGAGATACCATGGGCACAGATCAGAAGGGTTAACAACAGTTTGAAAGTGGGGTGCAGAGGGAGAGGATAAATAAGGATTTGAGAATGACTCTGAGGTAGCAAATCTGATGACTGGGAAGATGATAGTACCCTTGACAGATGCAGTCAATCAATCAATACACATTAATTATTTATACATTGTATTTTGTATTTATAGGAATTTATTCATTTATTATTATTTATATAACAATGTACTATTATTAAGCACCTGCTATGTGCCAGACAGTGTGCTAAGTGCCAAGGATATGAAAAGAAGCAGTCCCTAGTACCAGAAGACATAGAAACTCTCTGAGATCTCTTCTGGCTCTGAGTCTCCTAGTCTATATCATAACCTCATTGTGAGAGAACCTGGGGGGACTCCTCTGAGATACACTTTGGAAGTTGATAAATGGACCTAAATTCAATTCATTAAGTACTTATGAATTACCTTAACATAAGACTAAGCTTATTAATGCATTTGCACAGATATCCTGCACCAAACCTTTCCTCCAGTCTGATGGGCTGGGAAGAGAAAGAGGGACAGAATTTTCTCTGCTGAATTCTATGATTCTGTCAAATCTAAGCCCTTCTCCAATTCTAAATCTCAAGAATGTTTATGAAATCCACTTGTCCCTCCCAGATCTGGGAGGCATAGCTAATGGTTCCATTTGATTGTCACAATGACTTCAGAATGAGCTGCTGCAGGTATTACCATCTCTGTTCTGACGATCACTTTTCATATAGCAATTTTATGATGGAGTTTGCGTAAAAAAATTGAAAAAGTCATCAATCACTTATAAATCACCTACTATGTACCAGGCACTGTGATAAGCACTGGTGGGAGAAACCAACCCTTAACAGGCACCAATACTGAACCAAAGTGAATACGATGAAATTTGATGGGGAGAAATGTAAAGTCAGACCTGGGTTCAAAAAATCAACTTCCCAGATGCAAGATGGGCAAAACGTGGCATTCCGTGTAAAAATCAACACTCGGAGGGTTTTCATGAACTTCAAGCTGAATGGTACTTGTAGTCTCAGCTGTGAGGCATAGCAACCCCACAAAGCTAGTGTGTCCATCCTTTGGCTGTGTGACAAAGAGCTATCAGCCAGGACTGGGGAATAATTTGGAGTATTATGCTTAATTCTGGTCCCACATTTTTGGAAGGGCATTGATAAACTGAAGGGCTTCCCAGATCTGGGAGGCCTAGTAGGATGGTGTTTGCCTTCCAAATCAGGTTATACAAGATTAGATCAAAATGCACTAGGGATGTTTAGTATATGCTCAGCTCTTAGCATAGCACCTGGCACATAGTAGGTGATTAATAAATGGTTATTGAAGACAAGCAGACTAAGAAGAGACAGAATTGACATCTTTGTTCATTTGAGAGGTTGTCATACGGAAGAGGCATTGGGCTTTCCCTGTGTGTTCCAAAAGGACAGGCCTGGTATCAATATGTAGTAGTGGTAGTGAGGCAGATTAGATTTGATGTCAGTGCAAACTCCTCAATTAGAGCTCTTCACAAATGGGAAGTTCTACTTTGAGGTAATGCCCCCTTCTCTTTTGCCTCCTCCACATTTCAGTATCCAAATGAAAGGGGAAACAGCACAGTGAAGCCAAAAGAGGACCTGATTGGAAGACTGAAGACTTGGGTCTAAATCTTTACTTTGTCACCTGTGTGATTCGGGACAAGTTACTCCACCATTCTAAGTCTCAGTTTCTATCTGTAAATGAAAATTTGGGTTAGATGACACTTAAAGTCCCTTCCAGTTCAGAATCCTAGCACTCTATGATCCCACAATCCTACAAATGCGGGATGTCCATTAGTCAGGGATTTCTCAGAGGGAATTCTTACTCAAGTATGGTTTGGACTACATAAATTCTGAGGTTCCTTACTACCTTGAGATTCTGTGATTCCCTGACATTATGAAAGACTGGATTATATGCAAAGTAAAAGAATCAGAGCGTTTTATGAAACCTTTGCCAAAAGCTGGAATTCATTCTTCAACGTGGTCAACAAATAGTCATTGAACCTCTTCTTTAAGACTTCTAATGATGGGGAACTCTCTTCCTAAGTAGATTATTACACCTCTAATTGTTGGGGGAAAAATTTCCATACATGTAGCTGAAATATGCCTTTCTATAAATCCTGTATATTGCTACTATGGTACTATCTCTGTTTTCTGTAACTGAATGTAACTGAAGATAATGATCATAATAGTAGCTGACATTGATATAATGCTTTAGGTCTTGCAAAGCACTTAGCAAATATTACCTAATTTCATCCTCACAACAACCATGGAGGCAGGTAGATTATTATCCCCATTTTATAGATGAAGAAACTAAGATCAATGTTAAGTGGCTTGCTTAGGTTCACAGGACTAGTAAGTTTGTGAGGTAGGATTTGAACTCATACTCTTTCTCCTGTGCCAGGTAGCTGTCTGATCCTCTTCTATATGAAAGTCCTGGAGATATTTGAAAAGATCTGTCAGGCCCCACACCTCCCTACCCACCCCAAGTCTTCTTCTCTAAGTTAAATACCACCAGCTCTTTCAAACACTTGCCATCTGAGGCCACAAGAGGAAAGTCCAATCATGAGGAATGTCTTGACCACAGAGCCCCAGATTTCCATTACCACTCCCATTTTGGTCACCCTCCTGTAAGCTCATTCAGTCCTTTCACTCTTTTCTCTAATATTTCTATTCATGGTGCCATACAAGTGTGAATTATCAATATCATCTAATGGTAATAACCATAGTAAAAATAATATATTAAGTTTATTATTACTTAAAAGGAAGTATTGTGCAATGTGAAAGCATATGAAATATAAAATACTAATGTTGTACATAATATATTGATATATAATATAACAATATGATATAAAGGACACAGAACTTACACTCTTAAGACTTGGGTTTATATCCTGTCTCTAGTACTTCCAAGTTACAAAACTCTGGCCAGGTTTAAGCTTCAATTTCATTTCAAGTAAAATGGAAATAATCATATAGACACTACCCACCCTGCAAGGATATTGTAAATAAAATGTTTTGTCAGTCTAAAAGTGCTATAGAAATAGCAGTTATGGCTAGTTTTGTAAGATCCAGAATTCATATTCTTTCCCCTACTCAATAACTTCAGTGGCTCCCTGTTACTACCTGGTTCCAATAAGACTCCCATTAGGCATACATGTCAAGCTCTTCACCATGTGTCCAACACCTATCTTTCTAGTCTTCCTCCTCAACTCCATGCACTCTATGGTTCAGCCACATTTTTGTACTTTCCATTCACCTTACAATGGCCCATCTCCCAAGTCTGTGCCTTTGAACTGGTTGTCTGCCACTTTGGAGATATACCACCTCCTTATTTCTGACTCTCTAAAGCCCTGGCTTTTCTCAAGACTCAACTCAAACATTATTTTTGGCAAAAGGCATCCACCTTTCCAACCTTCCCTGAATTCATGTAGTGCCTTCCCCTCTGTAAGCATCTGAAATGTTCCTGTTTACAGCCATGTGGGCTCTCTCATTAAAATGTAATCTCTTTGAGGGCAGGGACAAATTTGTACTTTTCTTTTGTATTCCAGAGTTTAGTATAGTTCCTGATGCATGTGAAACACGATAAAAACTTTCTATTAGATTGATTAATCCCTGTCCAATCTTCCTCAAAATTTGTCTGCATAGCATTGTGACAATACATAACACCATGAAGACTTTGCTCTTTGTCCCCAGCCTGAAAGACACTGGGAGAAGGCCAATATGACCCAGATCCAGGAGTTCATCTTGCTGGGCTTGTCAATGAGGTCAGCCCTACGTGGTGTCCTCTTTGCTGTGTTCCTGACCCTCTACCTGCTGACTCTCTTGGAGAACACCATCATCATTCTGCTCATCTGGAGCCACCCGGGGCTCCACAAGCCCATGTACTTCTTCCTGGGGAATCTGAGCTGCCTGGAGATGTGGTATGTCTCAGTCACGGTGCCCACCCTGCTGCTTGGGCTGTGGTCAGGGCCTTGCCATGTCCCCTTCACGTCCTGCATGACTCAGCTCTTCTTCTTCATCACACTTATCTGTGCTGAGTGCACACTCCTGGCCTCCATGGCCCATGACTGCTATGTGGCTATCTGTCGTCCTCTCCACTATCCAATACTCATGAGGCCCCAGGTCTGCCTCATGCTGGCCATGGCCTCATGGATGGGCAGCCTTAGTGTCTCTGTGATCAAGATGGCCTGCATTTTGGGCTCTCTTACTGTGGCCCCAATGTCCTCAACCACTTCTTTTGTGACATCTCCCCTCTGCTCAGTTAGTACTCATGTAGCACTGACTGAGCTGGTCGACTTCATCTCAGCCACTGTCATCTTCTATGGTTCCCTGATGGTTGCCCTGGTCTCTTATGTGACCATCGGCACAGCTGTGGTGCATATGCCCTCAGCAGCTGCCCAAGTCAAGGCCTTCTCTACCTGTGCGTCTCACCTCATTGTAGTGGGCATCTTCTACTCAGCTGCCATCTTCATCTATGCCAGGCCCAAGCACATGGTAGACATGGACCTCAGCAAATTGCTATCTGTCATCTACACAGTGCTCACACCCATGTGTAATCCAATCATCTACTGCCTGAGCAATAAGGAGGTCCAAGGTGCTCTTCACAAGACCCTTTACAAAATGAGGATGAGTCAGAGCTCTACTAGCTAGATGTGCGGCCAAGAATTGTATTCCCTTAGTGTGTTCCAGTAGCTATCCTCTTCCTTCCTCACTTTCTTGTCCTGTTCTTATAGTTGCCCAGGCTCAGGACATCATTGGCATGTTGGATGCCTCCATTTCTCTTGCTTCCCACATCCAGTCATTTGCTGTGCCTTCTCAGTTACTTGACCCTAAAAATGAGCTATGGCCTCATTGCAGCAGAAAGAACTCTAGATGTGAAGTCAAAAGATCTGGCTTCCAGTCCTGGTTCTGCCACAACTGCACGACCTTGTGGTAAGTCACTTATCCATTAGGGGCTTGTGTGTCCTCATTTATAAAACGAGAAGGTAAAACTGAAAGCTCTTCCAGCTCTATGGCTATGGTCCTATGACTTCCTCAATACATAGATACCTTCTCCCTGCACACATGAGAACCATTCCACGCTCTCTTTCTATCGTATTTCTGTCTATATGTCTCTTTGTTTTCAAATGCTCCATTCTAGCAGTGTCAAACTAAAATAGAAATGGATCCCTACAGGTCACATATTGACTTAGAAAAACATAATTTAATATTATCTATATTGTATTGTATTTTTATTTCTTTTGTTAAATATTTCCAAATTACTTCTGCCTGTAGCTTAGGGGTTTTGCAGCTGCTTGTGGCCAGTGTGGACTACTGGTTTGATCCCTCTACTCTACTCCTACCGTGGCCCCAATGTCCTCAACACCAAGGTGTTGAGCCTTCCTGTAAGACTTTTATTATTATTTTGAAATGTGAGTGATTCTCAGGCTGTTGTCACTCTATGTGACTGTTTCACCTTCTTGACAATTGTTTTTAAACCACTTTTTGTGTATAATCATCACCTACATCCATCCTGTCTGCAGATGTCACCATCCTAACTTAGACCCTTATTTTCGTTCATCTTGAATATTAGAGAAGCCCCCTTTCTGGTCTCTATGTCTTTAGTCTCTCTCAGTTCCAGTACTCTATGCATACAATGCCTCCTGCAAATAAGGTATTTATATTTTGTATGGAAGGCGTGAGTAAGATTTAAAATATAATCAAGGAAGAGCTCTAAAACATGTCATCAAGTTGTATGATAGGAAAAGAAGGTTGGGGAATGAAAAATCAAGTAACATACACACACACACACATATATATGCACATGTGTATATACATGCATGTATATATATGTATATATGCATGTGTGTACATATATACGTGTTTATACAGGCATATATGTATATATTGCCCATTATATATGCGTGTATTCATATGTGTAAATGTATTTATTCATATATTTACATATATCATATATCTCAATCTATTCCTTTATATTTTAGGTTAGCCCTTAGGCTGGATTGGGAAAATTCTGCTGAATATTCTAAATTCCAACCAAATCATCATCATCATATTTTTACAATGTAGTAGGGTCTACAAAGTCTCTTCCACTCAACAATGCTGTAAGATAAAGCCCACTGAATTTGGAGCCAGGGAACCGGGCTTCCAGTTCTAGCTTTGTTCTTTGCAAAGTGTTGTAGACATCTTAGCTTCTCAAGGCCTTTTCCCCCTCATCTATAAAATGAGAGTTTGGGAATAGCTGATCCTTAAGGTCCATTGCATCTCAAATCTATGAGTCTGTGAGTCTACATTCCCACTTTATATTGGAGAAGAGGGCAGGAGGAAGGAAGTTCAGTCATGGGTAAGTGACATTCAGAACAGGTAAAGAAGAGTCAAGATTCAAACACAGAATCCAAGCCCCATTCTTTACAAGTAAAAATGCCACTTTCAAATGTATGATGGAGTGGGGAAAGTCTTGGAATTCAGAGCTTTGAGTCTCAGCTACATAGCTAGGGGCCTGATCTTGGGAACAGTTAACACTTAATAAGCATTCATTATGCACATATGGGGTGTTCCAGTCATTGTGCTAAGAACTGGGAATAGGGATAGGAATAGGATTAGATAGGGATAGGATAGGACAGAATAGGATAGCACAGGTACTAGTGAAGACTGAGGGAATTGAGGGGATTAGGACCATTAGGAGTAATTGTGGAAATTGAGTGAACCATACTGACTCCATCTTGTAACTCAATTCTGGAACTAGTCCAGTACACTTTCTGTTCAGGTATGGGTCTAGTTCAAATTCTGTCTTGTGAGAAAACTATTCAATTGTGGGAATTGGGAGAAAACTTCATTGCATTGGTTGAACCTCGTCCTATGTGTGCAGGAAACTAGACTACCTCCCCTATTGCTTAGAGACCCGTATAAGGACCTTGGCTATGCTGACCAGAAACCTGGTCAGATCCAAAGACTGATGCCAGGCGTTTTCTCACAATTGTACATCTCAAGCAACCTTTACGTCTTATCTGAAAACTGGCCCTGTACTGGTTAATCAGTTACTGTTTCCATGTTCCTTTGATTGTTTACAGACACTTGGAAGGAGTGGGATATCTCGGGGTTTTTTTTTTTAATTTCAGGGAATTGAACGTGTTCACTGTCCCCCTCCCAACTTGGAAAGTCCCTAACCTTTCACCCAATTAGAAATCAGATTACCTAATGTTGTTTTGCTTCCTTTTAATTAATAGGTCTTATTTGATGAATTGTTTCTAATATAGAAAAGTCTGCCTCCTCCTGTACTTGGGATCCAGTGCCCTAGCTGAGGAAGGTAACTGGCCCCGATTTGTTGGTCAATTGGCATGCAGTGCTTAATAAACCAAAATGCTCAGAAGCTCAGATCTTTGTCTTCTGAGGCATTTCATCTTTCAGCCACTGCACTAGACCAATCATTCTTGATCTCTCAATTGAGGGGACTTTTACAAATTCATGTAGGCATCTTCTCTGCAAATTGTCATCTCGAAGAGTTTTCTGGAGTATTTATAAGTGAAGTGGCTTAATCAGGGTCACACAGCAATTATGTGTTTGAGACTTACCTTGAACCCAGGTCTTACTGGTTTCAAGGCCATCTCTCTCTCTTACATCATACAACAAAAGTGAAACAGATCTCTGCCCTCAAGAAGTTTACAGAGAAATGACAGGTACACAGTCAAATACAAAATGCTGCCTTTGGCATTTGAAGCCCTTCACCACCCAGCCCCCTCCCACCTTTCCAGTCTTCTCACATCTTACTCACCACTACATACTCTTTGATCCAGTGACCCTGACTTCCTGGCTATTCCACACACAAGACCTCCATTTCTCAGCTTTGGGCATTTCTCTGTCCTCTAAGCCTGGAATGCTCCCCTTCCTCATCTCCAGCTACTGGCTTCCTTTAAGTCCCAACTAAAGTGCCATCTTTTATAGGAAGCCTTTCCCAACCCCTCTTAATTCCCTCTTTTAATTTCCCTCTCCTTTCCCTCTGTAAATTATTTCCTATTTATCATAAACATAGCTTTTTTGTACATATTTGTTTGCTTGCTGTCTCCTCGTTATATTGTCAGCTCCTTGAAGGCAGGACCTGTCTTTTGCCTCTTTTTTCATCCTCAGTGATTATCACAGTGCCTGACACTATTAGGTCCTTAATAAATGATTGTTGACTGACCAGGTGACTGACCAAGACACAAGTAGGAGCCAATGAACCTTCTTGAGCATGATCAGAACACCACCCCTACAACATCAATTTGACAAGTGTGTGAAGAATGATTCACTAAAGGAAAGTCTGGATTCAAGGACACCAATTAGAGGGCTGTAAAAATAATGAAGGTGATGGGTGATGAACCAGAATGGTAATCATGTAAAATGGCCAATCAAACTTGGGTTTGTTCTTATTACTATTTGATAATTATATTTCAATACAATTGGTTTCCTTTGTAATCCTCCATATCTGATTCTAAGAATTTAACTACATTATCCTGAGAAAAGATCCACAGGCTCCACCAGACTGACAAAACAGTGTGGGACACAGTTTGGGACAGCTTAAGAACCTTGTAGCAGTCTGCTTGTATTCAATTCTAGGATTTCATGAGTAGGCAATACCAAGCATATTTTTTCTTCTCTCCTCCCTCCCCAGTTCCACAGAAAGAGAACCCCTGGTTTCTCTGATTCATTCCCTCCCCCTTCTAGGTAACTGGTTACATCCTATTGTTATTGGAAAGATCTCAACTATATGCTTCAGAAAGAGATCTTGGAAACTGGGAGATAATTAAGGAGATGATTTGCCAGTTTGAGGTCAAATGAGGAGTGGAATGCAGCTCTCCTGGGAGCCTGAGGGAGAAAGAACATTGACATGTTTCACCACTGTATTTGATTCTAGTGATAGGAAGTGGGACTTCCTTGAGAGTAGCTGGAATCTTGCTTCCTGAGCAAATTTTGTGAAGCAGAAAGTCTTTAGAGGAAAAGTTAGAGGATGAAAGAAAGTGACTGGTCTACTACAACTACATGAAATGTTTTGCTAGAAGGGATGCTTGCATGAGAGCTCTGATGTGAATTCTGGTTTGTATTCATTAACCTTTCAATAAAAGTTTCCTGTGACCATTTTTGTGGTCTGTGTGCTTGCAAGGAAAAGTAGGCATCAACACAAATACCTTCTCCACTAGAAATACTTTGATGAGAGAGAGGTTTCAGATAATGATTTCTCCAGATTTTCTGGGTGCAGTAAATGAATCAATGAAATGAGAAGTCTTCCAAGGTGACCCTGGACCCTTCATGTCGGGAAGGTCTCTGATACAAGGGTTGTGTCTGATATTACGTACAAGGAATGGTGAGTTCCAAATCATAAAGGGTCTTCCAGTGCAGACCATCTGACCTATACTTTGGGATACTGCAGGAGGGATTCATTTCAGGCCCGGATTGGACTAGATTTCTCTCTGGTTTCACCCTGCTCTAGAAGTCCCTGATTCAATGATGATCTTGGAAAGCAATCCCACTGCCCGTGGTCTCCTGATGTTGGCTATCAGGGGCCCCACTCCCCTTCATCTTAGTTATAACCAATAGCAGACAGTGGATTTCAAGTCATCTGGGCACCTGCTTTTTTCCTACCCAATACCCTCCACAGGGCAGCTTTCACCAATTTGTTC